AGTGTCCTGTGCCGGGTCCTCGTCCTCCCTGCTGGATCCTTGAGTATTTAGCTTACCTACCGAACCCCAAAAGCAGTTTCATCTTTTTCATGTGCAGCGAGCAGCTCTGCCAAGGAAGCAGCTTCATAATTTTTACTCTTTTTCCACTCGCACACTGAGAAAAACTAAAAGATTGCTCAGAAACAATATGAAGATGATACCAAATAATAATTTTATAATAGAAATATAATTTATAATAATTAAAAATGGCAGTACAAAGTGCAGAATTGGAAATTAAATTTGATAATAAAATAACTAACTCACAAGTTACAATAACGCTGTAAATAGTTGACATTTAATTCAGATAAAATAATTTTTAATTTATAGGGCATTATCTGTAAACGCATTTAAAGCAACCAAATAAATAGATACTTAGTTGGTAAATTATTTTTGTAAGTAGCTGTTATTATAGATTAATTAAAAATGTATATAACTAAAAGAGAAATATGTAAAATTGTGTGCTTTTAATGTTTAAAAATTTTTGTAGCTAAGAGTGATGTTTAAAAATTAAGGTTATATTAAACCGAAGATTGTGTGACCAATTGGTATAATATTTTTCTCTGCGTACCGACAGTCGTCCTTGGCTGCTGGCTCGGTGTGTGTGAGGTGGGTCCTTGCTTGCTCTTCAACGCCTGACTGTTGGCTGTAGATCGACTTGACTGCCTTTAGCTTCAGCTTCAGTCCCTGTCCCTGCCCCTTTAACGCTGCCACGCCCCCTTCTTGGGCTGCTATCATTGCCAGCATTTTGCTGGGGTTTGCCAGGGGTTTTTCTGGGGTTCTGGGGCCTGCCCCTAATATTGCCCTTGACTGTTGTCAACATGTTCAGCGTATTTGTTGTTCAAGTTCTTCGTTGCCGTTGTCGTTGCTTCTGTCGTTGTTGCTGTTGGTGTTGACTTTAAGTGTGTTGATTTCATACAATTAACTTTTTGTCTGTTTGTTTTGTGCGACTTCTGCTGGCGTTCGCTCTAATTTCCTGCTCCGCTTTCTGGGGGAATGTCGGCAAAGTCACTGACATCGTTTGACAGCCACGTGAGCTTTAACAAGCTGGGGCAAAAACGGCAGATCCGAATCCGACCGCAACGTGGCGTATACGCAACGTGGATTGTTTTTTTTTGTGGTGCTGCAGCCACAGCAAGCTGGAAAATTTAATATTTATTTTTATGTTTTTGATTTAATTTTCCTCTTTTTCAACTTTACGGGAATGTGTGAGTGTGTTGGCTTGGCCACAGTCATGAGGTTTGCGCTGTTGCTGCTTTGGGGATTTATGAAAAATTTAGTTTTTCTTGTTATTTTTACGGCGCGGAGGTGATTTTTATTTTTATTCTCATCGCGGGACGCGCGTTAAGTTCTCTTTTTATTTTTATACCCGTTACTCGTAGAGTAAAAGGGTATACTAGATTCGTGCAAAAGTATGTAACAGCTAGAAGGAAGCGTTTCCGACCCCATAAAGTATATATATTCTTGATCAGGGTCACTAGCCGAGTCGATCTAGCCATGTCCGTCTGTCCGTCTGTCCGTCTGTCCGTCTGTCTGTCTGTCCGTCTGTCCGTCTGTATGAACGCTGAGATCTCAGAAACTACAAAAGCTAGAAGGTTGAGATTTCCCACACATATTCTTTGGCTTCCTACGCAGCGCAAGTTTATTTTAGCCGAGCGCCACGCCCCCTCTAACGCCCACAATCGCCCACTAACGATTTTAAAATGGGTCCTGCGCCCACATCTTAAAAGATTTCCGAGAAGTATAAATGCAATTTTGTTGTGTATATTTATACCTATCGAAATGTAGAAGACATTTTTCAAATCGGACCATTCATTAAAAAGTTATACGCAATCAAAAATTATATATCTATCTCCCTCGCACTCCCTTTAGCTGAGTTACGATTATTAGTCGGGACACCAACCCGACACAGCGTTCGCACTCCCTTTAGCTGAGTGACGGGTATTAGATAGTCGGGACAACAACCCGACTATAGCGTTCTCTCTTGTTTTATTATTTCTCTTTCCCGTTTTACGATTGTGAGTGCGCGAGTGACTGTGCGAAATGTCATTTGTTTTAATTTGCCAGACGTACGTGAAGCGGATTATTTTAATTTATTTTTCACCCATACACGTACTCACCTTTCATCCATCCTTCGAACGCATGAAAGTGCTGACGTTTGAAAATCTCGGCCCCAAGGTTATATTAAAATTAGCATTTTGACCAGGCCCACAAATCTTTGCTAATTTATGACACTTCCTTTATATATTTTGGGCCATAAAAAGCAGATATATAAACTTGCTGCTCGGTGATTAATGCGTCATAATTAGAATCTCTAGCTGGCTACATGCATAATTCCACGTGGCAACCCTATAAATCATGCCCCGGTGAGTGTGTGCCCGTAATCTAGCCACCAAATTCGGTGTCTGTCTGTCAGAGACACTTAACTTTCGTGTTGGCAGGTTCATCGCCGAAGTGTCAGCGCACAGATATCTACCCACACTCACACCCAAAACCAAAACCCCATGCCCAACCCTCTTAGCCAAAATAAATGCGTTATGCGTGCGCTTAAGTGCTCATTAATTTGGAATGTCAAACTATGTTGACTAACGCAAACGTTCCACGTTTAATCGCTTTGAAGAGGACCTCGTTGCGGTCTTGATGAGTCCTGGCATGCTCTATTCCGCATCCCTGTCAAATTGATTTAGAAGAGCCTCATAAAAGCAGCCCGGTCAACATTTAGGCCCACGGACACACAACCACACCCGAAAATAGAGGCAGACATCAGGTGGAGGATTTCACGTAGCAAGGCATTTTCAATTGAGATATTTGCAAATGTTGCTGCTGCTTTTAGGGGCAGAGAAAGAAAAGTGTTGGCATTTTAAAAATATTTGTCATTTTTTTAATGGAAAAAAATAGTTGCAAACCTATGTTTTATGTATCTTAATCATAATTATTGTATAATTTAACAGTGGGTGTTTTAAAACCCTGCAATTACTTATAGTACCTACCGCTAAGGCTAGGATAAATTTATTTAATAATTATTTTTAAAGCATGGTAAATTATTTAATAATTTAATTCTCAGAGCCACAAGTTAAATTCACTTTGAATATTTTTTCCAAGTGTTTCGGATTCCGGCAACTCCGACCATTGTTTCCCCGTGATCTTCTGACTGGAGTCGGAAAAAATCCGGCCGGCCTAAAGAGATGCGGGCTGACTGGCCAAACTGCAACTGGAGGCTGCCGACGTGCCTTCCTTGCGGTCAGTTGTTGCACGTTGCAGGGTCAGAAGTCATTCAGCCTCTATTAGGCTGCTAATTGAAATACCAGTACGAGGATTGGGGCATCCAGGCCAGGGGTTAACTGCTGCCGGAGTACTCGAGTTTCGATTGGCAAAGCAAAGCGAAAGATACGGAAAGTATAAACTAATTAAGAGTTGCAAGCTCGGCAAAGGTGATTGAAAGTTAATTAATTAAATAGTGCTGTGATTTGAGACTGCCATGTTTGATTTTTTTTTAAATTTGCTTGACAGAGTTGATTGGTCGTGAACGGATTTTTAAATGTATACGTATAGTGAGAAATATTAAATGGTTAAATTAAAGTAACATTTATTTCCAGGTAAATTTTGCATATAACTTAAAAAGTGAGTTCAGCAAGTTAAAAGACAAAAAAAGTTAAACTCCTTTCCATACCCCATTTGAATTACATCTTGCCATCAGCATAATTATCTCACGTTTATGAGCCAAACCTTTGGCTTCGCTGTTTTATTTTTACGCTTCTGTTTACGTGCTATGCAGTTGGGATTCCATCATTAGGAATTAAGCAAAAGTCAGTGGCGGAAGCCAAGTACTTGTCAAGTGATGATGATGCCGGAGTTCTTTGCAAGGCCAAAAGTTTTTAGAGTATGCGGGTTATTTCGCAACTCCCCGACCCCGGTGACTCCATTCAACTTCGCCTCTCTTTTTTTTTATATTCATTCTTCCTGCCGGTGCTGTTGCTACTACTGCTGCTACTGCCGCTGCATCCTTAAATATTTTCCCTTTAATTAAAATTTCAACAAGCCAGACTCCCGGGCGAAAGAGACAGGGATTGTGGGGCCGAAAGAGAGAGGGCACAGCGCAGACATGCCCGCATAAATTAACTTTTGCGTAGGTGACTGTGCACGGTTTGTATGGAGTATGGAGTACGGAGACCCCGGTCTTTGGAATACGAAATACGGAGCGTGGTAAGCTGGGCGTAAGTGCCTTATCTTAATGCCCCGCCATATCTGGGGCCTAATGCATATAATAGGCCAGGCCTGCTATTTAAAGTCTAACAACCCTTTTTATATGCAAATTGTTGCGCCACACGTACACGCCCCAACGCCTACATTCCACCCACCCTCTCCTCTTCCAACTCCCCTTTTTTTTGAGTCCCTCCCGGTTGACTTTCCCATCCATCCATCCACCCGGCAACTTGACATTTTTTTAGATACTCCACGGCGAGCACTCCTGCACCCCCATTTTAATTTCCCTCATTTAAACATTTTGTGAAAAGTCATATATACACTCGCACGGTTGGGTGTATGAGTTCTTCTTTTGGTGGGCGGTATGCGTGAATTACGTTTCAACTTTTTACACGACTTCGGGTCTCCTGGATAGCTTGTGTGGGTGTGTGAAAAACGTTAAAATAATTTGCAATTTAAATAGTTTTAATTAACTTTCACTAATTTGCTGTCGCTCAACTTGCACAAGTTGGCAAACTAATTTTAAAGTGATTTATTATTTAAACAGCTTGATGATTGGCAGTGCCCCCTGAAAAAAAGAGCCAAACTGCCAACGGCCTAATTAGCTAAAGGTGAAGGGTTACCCCTTTCTCATCCATGTGGTCGGCTCTTTGACAATGTAAAATGGATGCCAGTCACCTTTTGCCCTCGATCCAAAAAAATAGTTTTGTGTTTTGTCAACACTTTATTGGCCACAATTAATTGAAAAAGAATGGGGAACATATAAAAATAAAATGGTTTGGACTTAGGTCAATATAATGCATTCTTCGTAGGTCCAAAAAATAGTCGACATACAGCCACCTGATCCGTAGACAAATGTGTGGTTATAGTTTCTGACCAGTTTAAGTCCCAACAGAAGCATCAGCAGGATCATCAGCAACAAGACGACGGAGGCCACCTCCTGGCAACTATAACTTTTGCAGAACCTATTAAATGTAATTTGGATTTAAAAGTAAGATTTTGTAGAATGGAAAAACAAAAATTATAACATAATTATAGCTTGCAGTATTTTATTTCTTTCACACTTATATTCCCATTTACTCACCGATATCCTTTTGTTATGGTTGGCGAACTCGGTTTTCTGACAATATCAACGCGTTGACGACTTCTGGCCCGCTGTACCGCCTGACGGGCCTCATCGCCCACTTTCCGACGGTACTTAGTAAAGATCTCCGATACACTTTCGCGGGTTCGTTCCACAATCACCTGAACAGGCGTGGGTTTCTCGGAGCTCAAGATGGCGCTAGATAAGGGAGCCATATCTTTTCATTAGACAATGTAGATAATTGTACAAGTAAAAAATATATTTATTTATTGACATATTTTTGACAACTAATTCAATACATTTTCAAAAACCAAACTAGGATTCTCATAGAAAAATTAATTTGTTAAAGTAATTTGATTGTTGGTTACCCATTTTTTAAAAATATATTTTACCTACTTAAGTGATTGGATGTCAAATATAAAATAGAAAATAACCAATTATTGTGGCAAATATACGAACATATAAACATTTTTTAAGATTAAATACAAGCTTTTTATGAAACCTGCAAAGAGTGCATGCATAAGTAAATGATGATTATCTTTTCAGGCCGCAGCCTGGGCAACTTAAGCCATTGCAGGTCTGAGCCGAATTAATAACATTATGCAAATTTTAAAACATCCCATAAATCAACGCATTGAATTCGCCATGAAATAAATGTGCGCCCAAAAGGCAAATAATGGCAGAGTCATTAGATAAATTTATTTCGAATTTCACACAAACAGCGGCAAATTGAAAAAAAGACAACGAGGCCAACAACACGGGCAAAAAAAGGAGATAAGGGGGAAATCGATAACAACAAGCAAATTGAAACCGAAAATTTACAGTAATCAGCATAATATAGAAAACCGCCATTAAAATCATTATGTACCGAGTTTAATGCCTATTTATGGCTGATTTCAATTTAAGTAGCAATCCCGCCGCCCCCCGATTCCTCTCCCCCTCTTCCACCCGGCAAACAAATAGGAATACACACAGAAATACCGAAAACCTGCTGGCGTTAATTTCCAATAAAAAGCCGCTCTGCAAAAAGTAATTAACAACAAATTACGAAACCGTAGCAAACAACAACGGGCTGAACAACCGCCGAAACCAACACACTTAAAGCTAATTAAATTTTACGCTGATTCCCCCCGCCAAAAACCCCCTCCCCACATACCCCGCGATCCATAACTGATTGTTGGCAATAACGACGACCGCAGAGAATCGAGAGCCACAACATCTGGCGCGAGTAGAGCCAAAAATAATATATATAAGGTATAAAATAAAAATGATCAAAAAGTTTTGGCATTCATTTAAAAGAAAGCTCGCCGGTCGGTCAATGAAATCAAATAAATTAAGCGCTGACCAGCAGCCAAACACAATTTGAAGCCACCTAATTGATTTGCCAATAAAGTTAAAAAAGGAAGGACTCGCCGCATGAAAGGCGAGGCTCCGTACTCCATAGCCTGTAATTTGTAACCGGCCAACTGCAAGAGCCAAAGTAATTGACGCCACACACACACACATCAGGCGAACCCATACATATGTACATTAATTACCACAAAGTAAAGGAAACCGAAAGGTGGAAGGACTCTCTGGTCCAATGCCAACGGGGCTATGACGACTCCGACGGCTGGCCGAAAACCATTTGGGCCCGGCCAAGCGAAACTAATGTCCAGCCGCCAGTAGAAATGTCATTCGTGTGCAATTGTCGCCGTCGCTGTAATTTTCTTTTGCAATTCTTCCCTATTAAAGGCAACGCATCTCACTGAAATGGGGAAAAACTCTCAAGTTAAATGTACAATCAAAATCTTAATTTTATAATTACTTTTGATGACTTTTCTCAAAAACTTGCAGCTCAAATCAATTTAATCTATTTAAAAGGAAACAAATAATAAGAAAATATAAAATCATGAAATAGACCAAATAAAAATATCTTTAAACTTTTAAAAATATATTAATTTAAAAAAGATTTTTTATTGTAAAAATATTTTATATCGATATTTATATTCAATTTATTTCTTGTCAATCACTAATCGCCTATCTTTTGCTTCTAAGCTTTGGAAAAAAGAATGAAAAGGGACTTTCATAAAATTTTTTCGAAAAGATCATTGAATTGTACGCTTAATAGGACATCAAAGGGGCTGCAAAAAAGGATGTACCGCGATGAGGCAACCGCCAATGGTGCAATGCCGCGAAGTTGACCATCCAGCCATGTGAACGCGGTGGCGCCCCGCAGCGCGAATTGCAATCATATTAAAAGCAGAGCCCCAGTGCAAAACATTTGATGCCAGTGCAAAACAGCGCGAACATGTGGCCTGTAGAATGCGGCATGCGGCAAGCGGCATGCGGCGCGAACGGACGGAATGGCTATGGCTGCGATCCTCCGACCTAAACTAATCATGGCTACCCATCAACTGCGCGGTGGCCAAAGCGAGAAAAAAAACGGCCCCAGAAACCGTAACACTTTGGCCCGCCATTTGCATTTCCCCAGGAAAATGGCGGAGCATTGTGGGCAGTCTGGCTCAAAGAAAATGCTGCCAAATGCTAATTTCCTGGCTGAAAACTTTTTGGTCATTTGCTTTATTAACGGCAAAAGATGTAGAAGGAGGCAAGCCGTGCCTTAACCCATTTAAGGTAAGAAAGTTAAATTAAATTGGAAACATACGATTTTAGATTTAAATAAGCATTTTACTTAAAATTTATTTACATTAAAAAATAAATTGTTATTAAGCATTATAAGTGCATTTGAAAGTGCTCATCCCGTGCATTAAAATATCCCTAATTAATAAGAAACATCTTCAATCATATGATGTTTAATTTAGATAACATCATAAGGTAATAAGTGAGGTTTTCTTTTAAATATTTACCCATAATTCTAAAATACTTAAGTTAAATTATTATATAAGATACACTAATGTTGATGTTGTCTTACCAATTTTTAAAATATCCTTTAGAGGGTTAATCGAAGTGTCCGGGTTTGAATGAAATTTCTAAGATTCCGGATGTGGCGCTAAGTGCACACCCGCATCCATTCGAGCTTTGCATAACTCATTAATGGCGAAAGTTTCTGGTGCTGACACTATCTGAGATGGAGATAAAGCCTCCGGCTGGCCACAAAAGACAGGCTCCCAAATTCCGAATCCGAACGGAAAGAGTTGGAGAGGGTCAAGTGGGGCATTTATCAGGCCAGGGATTGCACAATATGGACGCATAAGGCATGGCCATCATCATCAGCATCTGCATCATCATTATCCTTACGATCACATGCTGCATGTACGCCACAAAAATTAATTGTGCCCACATGCAACAGGAAACGAGACCGAAACGGATCCAAACCCTTGCCGCAAATGAGAAACTTGGACAATCGCATTCGCACATTCTCGGCCAGAGACAATTGAAACTTTTTGTTCGAGGACGAGAATGAGAATGCGAACGAGAATGAGGACGAGAACGACAATTCTGGTCGCATTCACATTTGAGGACATGAGCTTTTCTTCTTGGCCGACCAGCTTGACATGCGTTGGCAGGACCTCCGTTCCCACTTTTCAACTTCTCCATTCTCATGTGCCAAAGCATGTGTTTGAGCACTGGAAAAATGTGAACAGCTTGGGCATTGTAATTAGTTTCTGGCCAAAAGTAAGGTAAGCTAGGCTTTAACAGACTTGTATTGTTCTCAGAAATATAATTGATTACAATAGGGATTACAAATTTGTTGCTTATAAAATCAAATTTTAATTTTAAATATTTTTTTAGATAAATTGCTTTATTTTTATTTATTTTACTTCATTTAAAGGTTGTTAATTTAATTTCTCATAGCCCAATCAAATCCCTCGACTGGCTTAGCATTTTTTCCGAGTGCGTGTGCGTTCACATAAGTTGGCCAAGCTGTTGGCCTGCTTGTGGTCGGTTTGCCTTCCAGCCATATACCCATTCATTCATTCAGTTTGACATGGCAGCTGCCTGGTCAGCCACCCGACTCCCTTCTATATTGCACCTCCCCCAGCTCGATTCCTTTACCCTCCATTCAAAGAACTCTTGTTATGCTCGCCCTGCTTGCGGTTTTGTCCATGGCCAAATGCAACAGCGTCTGTGGGAGCGCGGCGGTGGGTGGTTGTGACGCTGACTGGCAAGACAAAGCTCGAGCCGCAGTCTACACAGTGAGAAAAAGTCAGCAAAATGGTTGGTAAATGAATCCTAAACCTTCGATACTTTTTATACCCTTGCAGAGGGTATTATAATTTCAGTCAGATCTTTGCAACGCAGTGAAGGACGTTTTCGACCACATAAAGTATATATTCTTGATCAATATGTCCGTCTGTCCGGTTCTATGCGAACTAGTCTCTCAGTTTTAAAGCTATCGCGATGAAGCTTTCCCGAAAGTCTTCTATCTATTGCAGGTAGTACATATGTCGGAGCGAGCCGGATCGGACCACTATATCTTAAGGCTCCCATAGGAATATTCAAAAAAATATAAGAAAATTCATTGTAACTTTGTAGGAAGTAGGCGTTTTGATTATTGACAACTTAAAAACAAAATTTAAATAATAGGCACGCTGAATCTGGAATCCCTGAAACTGCGCCGAGTGAGCATTAAACTATAGTTGTTTGCTTTATCTTCAAGGGTATATAAGCTTGGCTGGCCGAAGCTAGCTTCCTTTCCTGTTTAAAATATTTATTTCATTGAGATTTATATATATAAACTATAGTTTCCGAAATAACTACTTTGTCTATAATTCAAAATAAAAGTTAAAATTTTAAATTTATGTAATTATACCCGTTACTCGTAGAGTAAAAGGGTATATTGTATTCGTGCAAAAGTATGTAACAGGGAGAAGGAAGCGTTTCCGACCCCATAAAGTATATATATTCTTGATCAGGATCACTAGCCGAGTCGATCTAGCCATGTCCGTCTGTCCGTCTGTCCGTCTGTCTGTCCGTCTGTCCGTCTGTCCGTCTGTCTGTCTGTATGAACGCTGAGATCTCGGAAACTATAAAGGCTAGAAAATTGGCATTTTGCATGCAGATTTTAGGAGTTCCTACGCAGCGCAAGTTTGTTTCAAAATGGTGCCACGCCCCCTCTAACGCCCACAATCGCTTATATACGATTTTAAAAACTTTAATATTTTGGAAAAGTAAAAATGCAGTTTTAATGTGTTTATCAATACCTATCGAAATGTAGAAGAAATTTTTCAAATCGGACCATTCGTTAAAAAGTTATGCGTGATCAAAGCTT